GTAACCTGATTCTACACCAAAATCTACATTAGAAAAATATATTATTATTTTATATTTATTAATTTTAAAGAAAAGATGCGGAATTTTGGAATTTTTGATGAAAACATGTAAAATTAAAATTTCAAAAACATATGAAAAATTGCAGACTTCCGGAAGTGATTTTCTCAACAACTACTGATTCAAATTAGCTCAAATTTTTACAGTACATGCATTTAATGCAGGGCCAGAACATACTAAAATATCAGCTTAATTGGATTTGTAGTTTTTGAGAAATTTCTTAAAAACTAAATTTTATAATTTTAAAAAAATTATTAGTAGTTTTTAAGTAGTTTCTCAAAAACTACCAATTTAAATTTGCTAAAATTTTAATATATTATAGTTATATATTATAATTGTATACAGTTAAAATTTTATCTAATTTGGACCAATAGTTGTGAGAAAATTACAATTAAATTTTAATATAAATTTAATGAATATGTTCAAAAATTAGAAATTTATATATAGTTCCGGAAGCAATTTTCTCAGAAACTACTGATTCAAATTGGATGAAATTTTTACTGTTAATATATATAAATTAAGGCTACAAAATATTAAATTTTTAGCTAAATTGGATTAATAGTTTTGTAGGAATTAGTAAAAAACTATATATAAAATTATATATAGATTTTTTAAAAAAATTAGGTATAAGTTTTAAGTAATTTCTAAAGAACTACCAAACCAAATTTGATAAAATTTTAATATGTTGTAGCCAGATATATAATCTATTAACAGTAAAAATTTCATTCAAATCTGATCAGTAGTTGTTGAGAAAATTACTTCCAGAACTTTATATAAATTTAGTATATATGTAATAAAAAAAGCAAATTTTATAAAATATATATAGTGATCCAGAAGCAATTTTCTCAGCAACTACTAATTCAAATTAAATAAAATTTTTATAGTAGATGTATTTAATACAGGGCCAGAATATATTAAAATATTAGCTTAATTGGATTTGTAGTTTTTGAGAAATTGCTTAAAAACTATAAATAGTTTTTTAAAATAATTGTTTATAGTTTTTAAGTAATTTTTTAAGAACTATTAATTAAAATTTGTTAAAATTTTAATATTATGTAGGCAGATATATTATTTATTAATAGTTAAAATTTTATCCAATTTGGATTATTAGTTGTTGAGAAATTTGTAATAGAATTTACTATAATTTATAAGTTTCTATCTATTTTATATACAATTAATTAATATAATACTTTTATTTTTTTACAATTTAAACTATATATAATTAATTAAATAATAATTACTTTTAAACTATATACAAATTATAAACAAATTATAAACAAATTATAAACAAATTATATATAAATATATACAAATTAATTCAATATTATATACAAATTAAATAAAGAATACTTTTAAAAATATATACAAATTATTTAGAAAAAACTTCTTTATATACAATATTTTTAGTATATATACCATCTTTTCCTTCAATATGTTCATCTTTAACTAATACTTTAATATTATCTTTTGATTGAACTCTTGATAAAGCAACATATAATTGGCCATGAGTAAAAACAGGCTTAGGTAAATATAAACCTATTTTTGTAATTGTTTGACCTTGTGCTTTATTAATAGTCATTGCAAAAAATAATCTAATAGGAAATTGTCTTCTTATTAATGTAAAAGGAAGATCAGTATTAGATAGTTGTAGCCTGATTCGAGGTATAAAAACTCTTGTGTCTTGATTAATTCCAGTAAGAATTTCAGCATCAATAACATTTTGGTGACAATTTTTTACTATTAATCTAGTACCATTACATAATCCTTCAGATGTACTTAGATTACATAATAGAATAATAGGAGCATCTTTTTTAAGTACCAGCTTATGAGGAGGTGTTCCACTTGGTGTCAAAGTATTTAAAAATTCAATAGGATAAAGACTTTGATCTACTTGAGCTTTATCTTCTACTGAATCAGCAGATAAAAATTCATAATTTTCACCAGGAATTTTTTCAAGTACTTGCTGATTAATTTCTTCAACATCAACATTTTTTGTTGTTAAGATTGCCCTGTCTCTAAGATAATCATTATTTTTATAATTAGAATTAATATCATTAAATACTTCTGATATTAAGTCCTTAATATTTTCAGAATCCAAGACTATATCATCAGGTAATTTAATTATATCATCACCAATATCAGAATGTATTGGCTCTTTTCCTTCACCTACTCTTAGTAAAAAATCTACAAAATTTTTTTGTTTAATGTTATTTTGTTGTTGAACTCTCATATTAATTGTTAATTTTAAGCTTTGAAAATGCTTTCAGAGAGCAGAAGATTTCAAGCAAGCATCAACAACTTGTTCACATGTCCCTCGAACAACTACTGATAATACTTGTCTAAAATCACCACCAAGAATCAAAATTTTGTCTCCAAAAGGTTTATCAATACCTATTATATCTCTAAATGTTCTGTCAATAGCTTCAAATATATATCTATAAATCATTGGAGCTTCATCCCATAGAATAGCTTTTGCAGCTAAAATTAATTTAGCTAATTCAGATTGTTTGGGAATATTTAGAGTTGTAGACTCATGTAGTTTTAATGGAATTTTAAATCTAGAATGTGCAGTTCTACCACCACTAATTAATAATGCAGCAATTCCTGAAGAAGCTACTGCAATTGCAATTCCATTCATTCCACTTCTTGATGATCTTATATGAGCTAAAAGTATATTATATAAAAATGTTTTTCCAGTTCCTCCAGGTCCATCAACAAAGAACAAATTCTGATTTATTTCATTATTAATTGCTTTAATAATAGTATCAAAAATTAATTTTTGATCACTATTTAATTTAACTAAATTTAATAATGTTTGATCAATTTTATCTTGATCATAATTTTGTTTTTCAAGAATTAAAATATCTAATTGATCAATTTCTAATAATGAATAATTAATTTCTGGAAGTTCAGAAAAATCAGTTATAGCTACTCCATTTTGATGTAAAAAATCATTAATTTCTATTAATGCTTTAGCTATACTTAATTTTTTATCATTTGTTTGTCTAAAAAAATCTTCAATTAAATCATCAAGATATTTTTCCCAAAGATCTTTAATATTTGCAGGTTGACAATAAACTAATATAGAAGCAAATAATTGTCTTAATTGTCTTGGCATTTTATATATTGCTGCTTCAGTAAGGCAAGTATCATAATCATTATCATCATCAACTAATCCTAAATGATATGCTGCTGTTTTAAAAGTATTATATTGGACTCCATTAACAAATCTTAAATCTTCAAAAGATTTTATACCATTTCTAATTAATAATAATGCTCTTAAGTAAAATCTTTCTCCATTCTTTGGATTTACAAAGTAGAGTCTAGAAATTACTTTTTCACTACCTTTTTTTCTTTTTTGCCAGTTATTATTTTTCTATACAAAATATTTAGGAAAGTCTGTATATTTTAATCTTTGAATTTCCTCATTATCAGTATTATTAGCACATACTTCAAAATATCTTGTTAATTTTGTATATGCACCTCTTTGTAAAATTGATGATAATTCTTTATTTTCTTGATAAGTTATACTTTGTTGATTAGGCAAATGAACTGGAAGCCTTTCAACAGTATGTGATCTTTGTTGCAATCCAAAATTAAATAATCTCCATATTGCTTCAGATGCTGAAACATATCTGGTATTTATATACTTTTTAATTTCATCATTCTAATCCATAATTGATATTAATACTCTATCCTGTCCTTTATATATATATTTATAGAGATATTTAACAGATTTAATACTTGAACATATCTCTACATTAATATGACAGTTGTATTTTTGAGTTAAATATGGATTATAAGGAACAATCCATCTATTATTAATTGTAATTCCTTTGTAATTTTTAAAAGTATTTTCCTCTATATTCCTTCTTCTATATGTTGGATAACCTGATTTATCAGTTGTTGTATTTGTAGTAAAATTTCTTGGATAATATTTACTACATTCACCATTTACCATACATGGTGAAGAAGGATTATATGATCCACAGGGTCCATGAACCATATGTTTGGTTACAGATTCATATAATTTTGGTTGTTTGTCTTTATCAGGTATCTCAGCAGATACCAAATTATTAAAATCTTCAGGAGTTTGTAATTTATCATCAGATACCAAAATCATTAATATATGTATATGTGGCAATCCTCTTTTTTGAAATTCAATTATATAAACATAAACAATAACTTTTCCAAGAATTCCTTTTTTAAATAAATCATTTGTTATTAAATTTAATTTTAATTTAAAAATTCTTGAAATTAAATTAGGTCTATCAGCAGGAGTTTGATTTGGTAATAGTTCAGTAGTAATCTCAAGCCAATTTGGATTACATGTTACTGTTACAAATAAATCTGGTTTACCAAAAGTTCTAACAATTGCCATAGAATCCTGATATAGTTGTTGTAAATATCTAGCAGATCCTGTAAAGCTTGATGACAAAATTGTCTTTTTACCAACTTGATTCAAGTCAGTATCAGTAGCAGTTATCATATCATTTAATCCTGAATATAAATCTGCTCTTAATTGTTTTTGATTTTCTGATTGCCATCTTAAATTATTTGATTCCTACTTTACATACTGGTCTACTATATATTGTTGAAATAATCTGCCTGAAAGATGCAGAATACTTTTTGTTCTATTTGAATTTCTAATCATAAATCTGTAAACTACAAACTCTCTTATTGAAACTCTTTTTCTTTTGCCAAGTTTTTGAATCCTAAATAATTCTGAACCTTCATCATCAGGTTGATTTTCTAATTCAAATTCATCATCATCATTATCAGATTCAATTTCTTTAGCTTTTCCTTTTCCTTTATCTAATTTTCTTTTTTTAGAAATCTTATCATCATCATTATTATCATCATTATTAGAAATTTCTTCAGTTATAATTTCTTTTCTTTTTTTAGAACTTGAAGAACTTTCTTCAATTGGATCAATTATACTTGATCTTCTTGATAAAAGTAAAAGTTCAGCTATAAATTGTGTAGCTGTACTTGAAGTTCTTGTAAGAGAAGCTATACTTTCTTGAACTTCAGCTTCTGTCATAGTTATTTTAGAAAGAGGTTGTTGAACTTCAGCTTCTGTTATAGTTATTTCAGGAAGAGGTTGTTGAACTTGTTGTTGTTGTTGTTGTTAGATATTTTCTATTCTTTGTATTTCTTCTGGAGTAGCAAATAATTCATCAATTTCCATTTGTGTTATAGGTTGTATTTTTATAACATCTTTTTGAGATAAATGTTCACTACTCTGTTCAGTAGTAGTAGATTGTTTATCATCATTATTATCATCAT